GGCCGTGCCGGGACCCCCACCCCCTGCCACCACCAGCCCCAGCACAGTGCAGCTGTGGGGCTGGGGCTGTTGGTAGTGTCGGGATGGGGCTGGGGCCAGGGCCAGTACAGGACCTGGCCCCATCCTGGCCTTGCCGACAGCCCCAGCCACGTGCTGCTGGCGAGTCCCAGCCCTGCGTGGGCCTAGCCCCAGCCGGCATCACCACCGCCACCTACTCCAGCCCTGCGCTGTCCTAGCCTCAGCCTGGTTCCGCTGCCAGCCCCATCCTGGCACTGGGGACAGCCTAGCTCCAGCTCCAGTCCCATGCTGCTGTGGGGCCCAGCCCCATGCTGCCGGTGGGCCCTGGCCCCAGCTCCAGCCCCACGCTGCCCATGGCCAGGCTCCAGCCCCAGTCCCCTGTTGCCTGTGGGCCCTGGCCCCAGCCCCACACTGCCGGGCGGCCCTGACCCCAGCCCCATGCTGGCCATGGCCCTGGCCCTGGCCTCGTCCCCAATGGGTGCAGTGCCCGCACCTGCTGTCTTTCTGGAGCCCAGACAGCTGGGGCAGGGAGGCAGCAGCTGTTTGCAGTCTCCCGGCTGCAGCTGGTTTAGGTTCTGGGTAGCTGCTGATAGCCACGGAGCCTGGGCTGGGGGGGCAAGGGGCAGCAGAGCTGGGGGTCAGGGGCAGCAGGGCCACAAGCAGGGCATCCTGCCATGTACCCCCTGCCCTCATTTTGTTTTTCTGGCATGCTGGCACTCTGGCACCTTCCAAGATAGGCATTGTGGGTGCATTTGGCACTCCGGCCAAAATACATTGCCTACCCCTGCACTAGTCTTTCTCTATACTGCTAGTCTCTTTTAGTAATTGACTCTTGTATACCAAAATATTACTTGTCTGTTGCAATATTTTAATCGCATTCCTAGTGGGAAAAGCTGTGAATGTTGGCATAAGTAGTAGTGTGAATGTATATAGTAAATGGGAACCTTGGAATGAATACATGTCAATATGAAGGAGCTGAAAGGTTGTCTCATCAGCAGAGCCTGAAAGGGAAGCATAGAACCTGATTCTTTCAAATCGGGCTTCCATTTCTCCAGTTGCCAAACTGGTGCAACTACTATGAATTGTACAAGGTAAAAAAGTGAATGCATTCTTAGCTGGATTCAGATTTGTGCATGCAGGATTGCAGGTCTTGTTTGTTGAAAATTATGCCACTAGTCTCTGTTAGTAGCAATTAGGTAGGCGCCTTATGTGGTTGAGCCACTATTTTTATTATGAATGCCGCTTGCTTGTTTAAGTCTGACTCACACCCTCTCTTCCCCCCAAGTCTTGTATAGTCAAAGTGTTTAAAAACTTTAAGGACTCAAACATATAAATTATTACTCATAGGCAAAGTTACAACTCCTGGCTCAGCAGTTTCTGAGAAGGTACGAACAAGGCTAGAAGAGCTGGATGACCTTGAAGAGGTGAGCAAGATTTTTGTTCAGGGAATGTCTCCATTTTAAAAGAAAAAAGGATAAAACATCTGTAAAAGTAAAATAATTTAAAAAACTTTCTGACCTATCCTAAAGGCCATGATTCTGTACACATTTATGTGCTGGTGCTTAAACTTTCAATAGGACTAATTTTGTGGATGAAGTTAAACCTGTATGTGATGGCAAGATTGAGGCCCAGTTGTTTTTAGTCTCATTGGAAACCAGTACCAAAAGGAAGAGAGTATGCAGGCTCCGTATAGTGCATCTCCCTATCTATTATAGTAAATTAGATTAGACTAACAGCATCTGACTTCTTTATTACATCATTGTCCCAGAGACTGACAGCTCTTCTAGATGAGCCCTGATTCAGTCAGATATTTGAGCACTGTTTAAAGTTAAACAATTTATGTGGTCCACTGAAATCATGCTTATGTGCCTTACTGTACTGGGGCATGAGATGGTCAGGACAGCTGTTGGAATAGTTTAAAAAGGAATTCTTTAATTCTGCTGAAGTAGGGTATTTCTGTATTGTCTTCTGTATTTCTGTCCTGTTGTCTTAAGGCTTCCATGCTTGGGTTCTGAACATCAGCTTGGATGTCATGTTTCTCACAATCATGCACTAGGTTCACGTTGCAAAATTGGTTTCTCAAAAATGTAATTACATGTAGGCTAGGTACTGTTAGTGGAGGGATAACGGCATACACCAGAAATGTAAAGGAACAGTGGCTGATGGATTTCATCTCTTCATCTGTCAGTTTATTTTACTGGTGCTTGTCCATAGGACTGGAAGGAAACCCCTGCATCACCAAGCCCAGTCCCCTGGTGTTGTAGGCAGTGACAGCAGATTGTCCTGCTTATAAACTGAGCAAAGACCATTTTAAAAGTAGCTTCTTCTGCCTCACCCCCTGGTGAGTTTATAGACAGCCACCAGGTCCCCCCTCAGCCTTCTCTTGTGAAGGCTGAACAGGTTCAGGTCCTGTAGC